GTGTTATGCATTCACTTTTTCAAGTTTATTATTAACTACTGATCTTGACAAACAGTCAGAGGAATCAGTAAATCAGCTTTATCGTCAAAGTGTTCTATATTTACTTTTTCAAACTTACCATTAACTAACCACTGATATTGACGAACAGAGTAATCAGCTTTATGACCATAAAAGTTCTTCATTTACTTTTCAAGCTTATTAGTAACTACTGATCTTGACATACAGTCAGACGAATAAGCTTCTACCATCAAAGTGTTCTACATTCACTTTTTCAAGCTCAAGCCGGCCAGTTCGAACTGTACAGTTCACCTGAAGGCCGGTCGCCGGATGGACTGATGACCCTCCAAATGTTCAGGCGAATCTGAAATATTCATCGCTTTAGTCTCAATTATCATGGGCCTCTACTGACAACGACGCGGTTATTAGCAATTTTTTAGTTTAGTAGTATTATTTTTTTGGAGAAAAGTAGACTTCGTAGAAGAAAAAAAATTATGTGCAGCGCCGTACATGTGGTAAAAGTGAAACTTCTCAAAAACTATCTTCCCTCATACAACCCTTACACAACTTTTAGGGGGGGAACGAGGGAACGCACATCTGTAGTGACGTCACAAAGGTATTAACGCTTGAAAATAGACGTGTCTTGTATATAAAAAAAGACAGTGCATATGGTTAAAAGTAATGAGATGAACTGGGAGAAAACAAAGATGCGGCGCGCCGCTGGGGGCGTTAGTGACATTTTTACTGTATGCGTACTGTCAAATTTCTACCTATTTGCCCTCAACTGCCTCCGCACTTCGAGATACGTCTATTACATGACTGTTCACGAATGTATTCAAATAAAATCACAGCACACAAATGTATAAATAACGAAAATAAACACAAAACACACTGATTTAATAGTATAACCGAAGGGAGACGCGCATCTATAGTGACCACACAATAGTATCGGCGCTTGTTAATAATAGGCAATCCTCTTTGCACTTATATTCCTTGGTTTGTGTCAATGGGTATGTTTCCACAGAAATCACAAACCAGTTAGCATGAATTTTATTGGTTGAAAATAGTCAGGAAACTGGTTATTGGCAATTTGGACCAATCAAAAACACTCTGACTGGTTTGTGATTTCTGTGGAAACAGACCTAAAATCGGCGCTTGTCAATAATAGGCAATCCTCTTCTTTGGTTTATGTCAATCAATAGCTGTCTTTCTCCGTCTCTTAACGTTATATCTTTCTTCTCTCTCGAGTAACGAATTTCCCCGTGACGCGTTTTTCAAATTACTCTCCATTGTCGTTCAAATATCAGAAAACCACCTAAGAAGTTTCTTTTTGAAAATCGATTTCCTTCCATTTTCCTACCAATTTCAAATACTTCTTCTTTCTTTACTTTTTAGATTTGACTTTTGCTGATGCGATTTGCTTACTAGTCACTACTGAATTTATCTGAACTGCTGCTCACAGCATAGCCAACGGTCTGGGTCCGACAGTCGACCATGCCATACACATATTCAGACTTGCCTTTGAGTATGTCAGGTCAGCCGGATAAATAAACATATTTTTGATTTCTCTCCGGCCGCCTGAACAGTCTCAACTAACAGATCGACCGAAATATATACACGTTCAGGCGACCGGTCTTTAGTCGGACTGTTCAGTTCGAACTGACAGGCCTGCCGGACCGTGTGTAGAGCCGGCTTTAGTACTAACTGCTGATCTTAACAAACAGTTAGAGGAATCAGGTTTATCATTAAAGTGTTCTACATCTCTGATCTAAAAAATAGATGGATAAACAATTCATACGGCTTGATTGGCAAAATTTGTGCGAAAATTTGGGGTCAATATTCTACGAACAGTTGTGCAACGGAACAGCCTAACGCCTGCGCAGTGTCTTATCTTTCGAACAACTAAATTTTGAAATTCCTTCATTTTCATTGGCCAGATTTTGTGCACTCCCAATACATGTATCTACTGCGCACGCTCATAGCTGTCCCAGTCAGTTGTTTTTGTTTAGATTTTGACCTCGTAAATTAGCAGCATTAGAAGCGTTCTTTGTTTATCCATTTATTTTTGAGATCAGTGGTCAACCCCTAAGTGCGGGTGACAAGTACCCCCAAAATTTCAAATGAAAAGAGGGGTCGAGTGATATATCATTTGATAGCTATTTTCATTAAGATTATATCCCCGAAGTTTCAAGTTGCTATTATTTACCCTTTCGAAATGGCGGCTTGTCATAGTTCGGAAAAGTCAATGGAAAAATGTTGTGTGGTTTTTACTTGTTACCTACGCATAGGTGTGACAGGTAAAAACTATACAGTTAAGATTATCGTAAAAAAGCATTTATCCTAAATTTGATATGCCGCCATTTCGGCAAGATAAATAGTAGCAACTTAAAACTTCGGTGATATAATCCTAATGAAAATAGCTACCAAATGACGTATCACTCGACCCCCCTTTCTATTTGAAATTTTGGGGGTACCTGTTACCCCGACTTAGGAGTTGACAGGTAGGAGGTGAAAATACCAATAAAATGTTTCCCCCAAAAAAGATAAATTGACTTGTCTGAGCGATTTTTGATTAAACACCTAACATCTGAGAAACTCTGGGTGGGAAGTTTTTCGTGCCCCACCCTGTATAAAAAAACACCCTATACTTGAACAATAATTTATAAGATTTTCCACTTTTTGTCAATTTGCCTTTCAACAGGAATTGGTAATGTTACTTTACAAAACTAGTAACATAATGTGACAAGTTATTCTAGTACAAACGGGTAAAATGTCGCGAAACTTATGGGTGGACCTCTGCGGAACGAGCACAGCGAGTTCCGCAGTCATCTATTCATTAGACACTTTAAGCAAATCGTAAATTTTTCTACGTATCCGTGTCCGCATCCGTAAAAGCATCAACTTACGTTGACCGTCTGAAAATCTTTTTAAGCATGGCCATACATACATTATGTAAACAAGTATTTTTAGATGGATAAAATGTTTTCTAACCTCAAAAAATGTTGTATTGATTTTCTAGCTGTGTTCGTAGGTTTTCTTTTTATTTGTAAGTACTAGTTTATGTTGTTGAAGTTATTTAAGTGATAACTAAAGTCCATTTCACAATGGACGTAACGTATTGCCAACATAATGTTGGCTTGTTGACTTTTATCTTTAAAAAAAAAACATACTTTAAGTCCTAAGCATACGCACATTAGATTTATTTGCGTCAAATATATTACTGGAAACGTAACATAAGAGAAGATGAGAATAATTTAAATTTTGCTTATTTTTGGCTTTTGATTGGCTTTCAAATTCAAATTTTGAATATTTCCGGCTCATAATTGGTTCAGAAATTCAATTTTTGATTATTCCCGGCGGCTCTTGATTGACTTCGAATTTCAAATTTTTCTGGCTCTTGATTAGGTTTATGATTCAAATTTTGAATATTCCTGGCTCTTGATTGGTTCTGAAATTCAAATTTTGAATATTCCCGATTCATGATTGGTTTAGGAATTGAATTTTCGATTATTCCCGGCTCTTAATTGATTTTCAAAGTCAGTTTTTCAATTTTTCTGGCTCTTCATTGGATTTAAAATTCAAATTCGGATTATTCCTGGCTCTTGATTGGCTCTGAAATTCAAATTTTTAATATTCTCAACTCATGATTGGTTTAGAAATTGAATTTTTGATTATTCCTGGCTCTCGATTGGCTTCAAATTTTGAATATTCTCGGCCCTTGATTGGCTTAGAAAATCAAATTTCAAATATTCCCAGCTTTTGATTCTATTTCTAAACCAATCATGAGCCGGGAATATTCAAAATTTGAATTTCAGAACCAATCAAGAGCCAGGAATATTCAAAATTTAAATCTTGAACCCAATCAAGAGTCGGGAAAATTCAAAAATTGATTTTAGAAGCCAATCAAGAGCCGGAGATATGTAAAATTTGAATTTCAAAGCCAATCAAGAGCCAAGAATAATCAAAATTTTAATTTTAAACCCAATCGAGAGCCGGGAAAATTCAAAAATTAACTCTGGGAGCGAATCAAGAGCCGAGAATATATAAAATTTGAATTTCTAAACCAATCAAGAGCCGGGAATATTGCAAATTCAAATTTCTAAGCCAATGAAGACCCGGGAATGATTAAAAATTGAATTTCTAAACCATTCAAAAGCCGGGAATAATCAACATTCAAATTCCCAAACCAATCAAAAGCCGGGAAAATGTAAAATTCGAATTCTAAACCCGACGGGAAACTAAATTTTTTATCAAATGTTGCTACAAACAAATTGAATAAATTTTCATATAACAAGTGTTGCTGCAAAATCTCACCCTGAAAACCCACTAAAAAAGAACTACTCCCAAAACGACTTGTTGCTACACTTTCACTCCTGTTGCTACACTTTCGCTCATGTTGCTACACTTTTTCTTTTTAATAATGTTGCTACATAAATTCATTGAAATATTATTCTAAACCTACTAGAAACTACTCCCAACGATTGTGTTGCTAAACTTTTTATTTCGTGTTGCTACACACACTCGTGTCCTGAGCAAAAACTATCACACAAATGACTTTATTCCTACACAAAAACGAGTGTTGCTATATTTTTACTCAAGGCGTGTTGCTACTTTTTTTTTTTTCTTTCTACATATTTTGATCTTGTGCTGCTACACAAATGGAGTGTTGCTACAAGAATAATTAATTGGAATCTTGCCCCAAACCTACTAACGACTTGTTCCTACCACAAGCAAGCAAATAATAATCCTATTGGTTGAATTGGTTTCCCGCCACTTGACATATTTAAAGTCAACCAATAGGATCATTATTCACTTTTTGCAATTCGCGATTCTCGAATATATATAAACTAAGCTCTCTTGCGTGAAATTCGCCCTTTTAACATTGTTTCAACAGTTTGACGTTTGATACACGCATTAAACTTCAAATTGTCGAAGCAATGTCAAAAGAAGAGCGTTTTTCGCATAATGACAACCCTGTCTTAGATGAATTATCGTTGTTCTAGTGCCTCTCATACTCCCAGCATGAGATCCAATGGCGAATCGATGGGTTCGACAGAAACAGTCACAATTTCCGAAGGTTCCACAAACGTCACTTTGGATACGGCGTCGTCGCACAGCGCCCTTTCGCAAAACAGCCAAAACCCTTCCTGTCGGGTGCACTGCGGCAGTTTGGCATCGTTCGACGGATGCAGCGTTGCCAACAATACCGAAGGGATTCCTTTGTTGGAAGAAAACGAATTGGAAGATGCGAATCTAGCCGATAACGTTTCCTGTCAAATGTCTACGCACAGCGCTAATTGATTATGTATGTATGCTTATTATTATTATTATTTTCAACCAAAGATCTGTTTAGTTTATAGAAAATTAGCCCTTAAAAATATATATAAAATGCTTTAATTTGATTGGATTTATTTTACTCATTATAGAAAATATTATGCAAATGACAGGCAAGAGTCACAGTCACACAGTACAACTGATTTGTCACAAATTAGAAATGACAGTTGTGTATAGTAAAATCCTGACTTACACAACTAAAAATATTTATAGTAGGCCGAGATTTTGTGATTTTTATGATTTCATAACTCAATAAACATGCCATGCCCAAAGAAGCATTTTATATTATACTGGCAATTCTTGCATACAATGGACGAATGAGGTAAAAATCTCTCGTTTACGGACAATCCTGACCCGAGCTTATAAAACAACGCTGACATGTTCATTAGTAACGTCATATCAACGGACCTTGTTATTTTCTGCTATATTCAATTTGTTTCCCATCATTTTTTTTTTTTTGCGGACATTTTGGGTGGGCATTCCACGGTTTATTATAAATTATTCATTTAATGTCTTTATTATTTTGTGTGTGTGCTTCTTTTTGACCCCAAGGGGCACAATGTAATCCGTGCACAAAACCCTTTTGCGTAAATTATCGGATTAAGTTGATAAAATAGAATTTCCGAAGGCTCTGCAACAATACGAGATACGGTCCGAGTGTCACAACACAATTGTTCGATCTAATATTTTACTTTTGCTTATTGGCTCGTAAAATTGTCGCGCATATTTTAGTTTCTTTACGGTGCACACCGTAAAAAGACAATCAATTTTTATTTTGAATAAAGCCAATCGATAATTTACTTAATAATGTATTATTATCTGGAGTATGTGTAATTATTTAAATAATATGGTTGGTTGTTTTCAGGCGATATTTGTTTTTAAATCTAATACAGATTTTTATTTTGAGAAACACTTTCTATTGGTCCAAAAAATATTCAAATTTGAAAATGACATTGTTGACAGAAGCTCAGATGATCTTCCATTTGAAATAACAAAATTCTTTTGTGATATCGACGATAAAAGTTCCCAGAGCCTTAACATGATACATAACCGTGTGCTTTTTAATTAATCTTGATTAGCACCCTGAGGAGAATCAATCAATACATAATTTGATTAATTACACAAATCGAACATATGTTTTTCTAAATCAAATTTGCATAATTAGCCACAATAATTGATTAATTGACTGAGTAATTTTCAAGCCATAAGTATCGATATTATAAAATTGCGTATTGGTTGTCCCTTTAAAACATTTTTAATAGGTAATCGAAATTAATGACTGGGGCCTGTCAAAAACGGATCTTTCGCAATACGAGCCTCAAAGGAGGTTTTAATTGCGTATTATTGGCCCGAAGTCGTAAATAAAGGCGCTTACGGTACTTTTTTGCCGTGTCATTTTTATCTAGAAAGACATTTTTTTTTGTGTGTGTGGGCGCCATCTCTCGCGTGATATATGAACACTTAATTTGCGAATGTTTACGGCGAGAAAGTGACCACCCACACTTTTACACCTGAAAATCGTATACTGATAAATAATGTTTGAGAAAATTCGATAAAAAGTTACGTCACACGATACAATTAACTGTAGTTTAATGACAATTGACAGGGGGATGTTTTTGTCAGAATTGAAGTTTGACAACTTCTGATTGAAATCGATATTTATAGGTATCGATTATGTATAGGCTCCAAATTTGAGGGGTGCTGCAGCACCATTTGTTTTTTTTTTTTGATGGGTTTTGATGAAAAGGAAATAAGACACGTAAAAAAAAGTTAGTTTCACGAAGGTTTGTATTTACGTCATCATTTCTCTTTTTTTTGAAAAATAGGTTTTTTTATGTCTGATATTTCAAACAAACATATAGTTCGTTGCACGGCACAAAGGTTTTTACTTACGTCATTGATGACTTCATAACTTAGAGAAAAAGTTAAGCCGTAGATTAATTCATAGAGCACCACCCAGGAATTAAGGTTTGTAATACATTTTTTAACTTAGAATAGAATTTATTCAGTTATCCGAAAATATATAAATAAATTTCTCCTGGAGTGATTTTTCACTTGAAAATTTCGAAATTTCCCTATGATGAGCTCCTCACTTTCCTCTTTTTCCTGGAAATTTTTCAAAGTTTTCTCTCTGCCAGTTTTCCAGAAAAAAATTAAAATGTAAGAGGGTGAATTTTCCTTAATTTTGCTTAAATAATTCAATTTTTCTATAATGAGTTCCTCACTTTTTTCTTTTTTATGGAAAAATTTCACAATTTTCACTTTGCCAGATTTCTAGAAAATAATTAAAATGTAAGAGGGTAAATTCTCCTTAATTTTGCTTAAAAAAGTTAGTTTCTCAAAATTTTTCCTGGAGCGATTTTTCACTGAAAAATTTTGAGATTTTCGTAAAATGAGCTCATTTTCCTATTATTCCTGGAAAATTTTCAAATTTTCCCTTTGCCAGTTTTCTAGAAAAAAATTAAAGTGTAAGAGGGTAAATTTTCTTTAATTTTACTTGAAAAAGTCAATTTTTCAGAATTTTTCCTGAAGTGATTTTTCTTTGGAAAATTTTGAAATTTTCTTATAATGAGCTCTTCACTTTCCGTTTTCTTCACAATTTTTGCTTTGCCAGTTTTCCAGAAAAAATTGAAATGTGAAAGGATGAATTTTGCTTAAAAAAGTCAATTTTTCAGAACTTTTCTCTCGACTTTTCTTGGAGTGATTTTTCACTAGAAAATTTTGAAATTTCTATAATGAGATCCTCATTTTCTTCTTTCGCCTGGAAAATTTTCAAAGTTTTCTCTCTGCCAGTTTTCCAGAAAAAAATTAAAATGTAAGACGGTGAATTTTCCTTAATTTTGCCTAAATAAGTCAATTTTTCAGAATTTTTTTATGGAGTAATTTTTCATTGGAAAATTTTAAAATTTTGCTATAATGAGCTTTTTACTTTCCTCTTTTTTCTGGAAAATTTTCACAATTTTCCTTTCGTCAATTTCCCAGAAAAAAATTAAAATGTGAGAGGGTGAATTTTGCCTAAAAAAGTCAATTTCCCAGAATTTTTCGTGGAGTGATTTTCCACTGGAAAATTCTGAAATTTTCCTATAATGAGTTCCTTACTTTTCTCTTTTCTATGGAAAAATTTCACAATTTTCCCTTTGCCAGTTTTCTAGAAAAAAATTAAAGTGTAAGAGGGTAAATTTTCTTTAATTTTACTTGAAAAAGTCAATTTTTCAGAATTTTTCCTGAAGTGATTTTTCTTTGGAAAATTTTGAAATTTTCTTATAATGAGCTCTTCACTTTCCGTTTTCTTCACAATTTTTGCTTTGCCAGTTTTCCAGAAAAAATTGAAATGTGAAAAGATGAATTTTACTTAAAAAAGTCAATTTTCCAGAACTTTCCTCTCGACTTTTCTTGGAGTGATTTTTCACTAGAAAATTTCGAAATTTCCCTATAATGAGCTCCTCACTTTCCTCTCTTTCTTGGAAAATTTTCAAAATTTTCCCTCTGCCAGTTTTCCAGAAAAAAAATTAAAATGTAAGAGGGTGAATTTTTCAGAATTTTTTATACAGTAGTGTCGCGATAATCCGATCCCGCGATAATCCGTATGCTTCTGTAATCCGCATCGCATTTTCATTCCCTTGATGTACTCTGTAATCCGGATTTCACTTGATTCAGTAATCCGAATTCATTTACATGACTCTTGAAAATAAAACCACAGCAATGGTGGGACTGCGTGCCATGTAGAATTCGACATATTATCGAAACATATCGCATGCCGCACAGTGTGCCGAGTTTATAGAATCCTGTCGATATGTAGAATTCTACCTGACATGGAGTCCCTGGGCAGGTTTTCACTTAAAGAAATTTGCTTTTGAAAAACAACAGTACAGCAGTCGTCAGAGTAAAATCACCAACTTCTTCCAAGCGGTGCAGAAAAATGTAGAAGAAGGTGGACAAAATTCAAATGCTGAAAATAATGTAAACGAAAGTTGGAACAATATTGACTAGTTATTTTTACACTTATGTACTAATTTACATATTTCGCACTCTATATAGAATAATTTTCTTCATTTGTCCTGTTTTTTAAATAAATATAAAGCTTTTTTTGTCTAAATACAGCATGTAATTTTTTCAAAATTGTTTTTAAAGCGGACTGTAAAATGCCTTAGTAATCCGAATAATTTGATAATCTGGATTGATCTGGTTTTAATTGATCAGGATTATCGCGACACTACTGTACTCCTCACTTTCCTCTTTTTCTGGAAAATTTTCGCAATTTTCCTTTTGCCAGTTTCCCAAAAAAAAATTAAAATATAAGAGGGTGAATTTTGCCTAAAAAACTCAATTTCCCAGAATTTTTCCTTGGAGTGATTTTCCACTGGAAAATTTTGAAATTTTCCTAAAATGAGCTCCTCATTTTCCTCTTATTCCTGGAAAATTTTCAAAATTTTCTCTTTGCAAGTTTTCCAGAAAAAAATTAAAATGTAAGAGGTCAATTATCCCTAATTTTACTTGAAAAAATCAATTTTTCAGAATTTTTCCTGGAGTGATTTTTCACTGGAAAATTTAGAAATTTTTCTATAATGAGCTCCTCACTTTCCTTTTTCTTTTGGAGAAATTTCACAACTTTTCCTTTGCCAGTTTTCCAGCAAAAAATTGAAATGTGAAAGAATGAATTTTACTTAAAAATGTCAATTTTCCAGAACTTTCCTCTCGACTTTTCTTGGAGTGATTTTTCACTAGAAAATTTTGAAACTTTCCTATAATGAGCTCTTCATTTTCTTTTTTCTCCTAGAAAAATTTCACAAGTTTTGCTTTATTAGTTTTCCAGAAATAAATTGAAATGTGAAAGGATGAGTTTTCCTTAATTTTACTTGAAAAAGTCAATTTTCCCTGGAGTGATTTCTGACTGGAAAATTTCGAAACTTCCTTATAAAGAGCTCCTCATTTTCCTCTTTTTCTTGGAAAATTTTCAAAATTTTCCCTCTGCGAGTTTTCCAGAAAAAAAATTAAATGTAAGAGGGTTAATTTTGCTTAAATAGGTCAATTTTCCAGGATTTTTTATGGAGTGATTTTTCATTCGAAAATT